TTTTATTTTATATTTAATGGTTATTTGAAATAAAATCGACATGAAATATATACAGAATTCAGCTTTTTAATTGTCCAATATAGGTATCGTTCTTATTTTAAGAGATACAGAAACTGTTAAATGAGCAAAAATTTGCAGAATTTTATGCTGATCATGGATTGACTTTTAATTTTAGAAAATTGCGAATGATTCCGAAAATATTCAAAGGAAACCGAAAAATTTAAATATACCATTTAATTTTGTTTAAAAACTCAAATGTTTCACGTGACTATTTGATTTTTTTTATTAAAATTTCTATTCTTCTAATGAGGCAAAAATTCAATATAACAAAAATAAAAGTTAACTACCGCTCAACACATATTTTTACAGATATATTAATATCGACAGCAAAAATCGACTCGTCAGATCATTTAATATTAGGCTACACAGTTTTGTGCTAAAATTTTGAAAGACAAGTGAAATACGACTAAAACAAGAAATAGCGGAAAATCGGTTTCCTTCGAATGTCTTCAGAACTATTCGGAATTCTCTAAATTTAAAAATAAATCCGTGATCGGTATAAAATTCTGCACATTTCTGTTCATTTAATCAATCCTGCATTTTTTAAAATAATCAAAATACCTGTATTGGACAAGTAAAAAGTTGTAACACTGTATATTAAAATAATTACTAATCTCAAAAATATTATAGGAATTATTTCGAAATGCTAATTTATTTTGCTCCATTATTTATATCTTTAGAATTTTCAATGTTACGACTTCCTGGTACCTGTTGCTTTTTTTAAATTGTAGGTAATCTTTACTTTTTTTCAATTCAAATGTAGCCCTGAAAATGGTAAGAATTCTGCCGAAACGTTGCCAAAGTGTTAAATAGCAGAGAGATATCTCCAATAGATTCGTTATTCCTACTACAAAATTTGAATAAATGGACGAGAAAATACATACCTTCTAGTCATTTTTACAATTTAATTCGAAGTTCTGTCTTGAAGTCATTTTTACAGCTGGCTTCAAAACCGATTTGCAATTACTGTTATAAATGATTTTATTTTTATAAAACTTAAATTATGATTTAGTTTTTGCAACTGTAAACTCACTTTTAAATTACAATATACGGTTGACTATTTTCTCATAAGTCTTACAACTTGAAACTGAAAGTCATTTTTATACAGGACAGTAATTTCAGTTTCAATTTCAGTTTCGAGCATATAAAATACCCTTTTATTGTGAAGTTACAAAGATCTCTGATATTCCCGGCTTTCTTTGCACATAAAATTGACTGTTTTCACTTTGCGGATCCGCGTAAACGAAAATATGAATAAAAAATATTAGGACCAAGCGTCGCCATGTGGCAATCTCGTGAGATGTAGGGGATGTGATTCCCCTGGAACCCATAACAAACTCGTAATTGCGGGCGTATCCGGGTCTTTTACGCGTTAACTGAACGTAAGTCTCTCGTTAGTATTGCGTTTGCATTCTTTATGCCCATTGTAGGCAGTGTACCGAAAAATTGGATTTTTGCGATAGGGGCCACTTTTGAGCTCTTATCATAATTACTTTTATTTTATTCGTACTAACTTTCATTCCTTGGGACCTCAAGATATTCGTTGGATTATGTTGAGGAATGATTAATTTTTAAGTTATTTACACAGTGACACTAAACTTAGTGGCACAATTTTAAGAGGATATTGTGGCAAGTCGAAAGACAATAATTGTTTCTACTAGTTTTCTTATTACAAGTTCCTCTACAATACACACTATGTTTACTCAGATTCGACATTTTCGTCGATATGATTGAGATCTGGGCTTCAGCTTGGTCATACGAAAAATATTCAAGTGGAGACGACAATGCTACATATTTAATTTCTTAACAAATATCATGTTAAACTTCTACTCACCATTCTCACTTTTGGATCACTTTTGGCCTTGGTGGTAAGCCTGTGAACTCTCCACACCTTGCTGAACATCGCTCCGAAGGACAGGGTGAAGCCGGTCGTGAGCAGCCACGCTCTCGTCTGGCATACAACGGGATAGGCACCGGGGGTCACGAATCTACCATCTAAACCTAGGAGGAACACGGCGGTCAGACACACGATGATGCCGAAGAGCATTATCGTGTTGCACACCGGATGGGAGGACTGGATCACCCTGGAAGAGAGCCAGAATATGAAACTAAGTAAAGTCTGTGTCATTATATCATTATAATAATTAATATTTTATGTAGAAATAATCATTACCTCCCCCAGAAAACAGTGTTATTATTGTAAAAGTCTTGGGTGTTATAATGTCATCTAGAGGAATGTACTGTAGTATTGAAGATAATATTTCTTTTTATGGACACTGAAGTTGACAGAACTGCATAGATCAGCATTAATAAGTATATTAGACATTACAGATGAATTACTGCTTTTGGTGATAATACAAACCATTTGGAAACGGAAAATTGATAGAAAGTATACAAGAAAAAAGAAAAATGATGAGAAAGGGAGAACACTTGAATAGAATAAAGCTAATTCAGCTTTAAATCTTCTATGACGTAAGATTTGATCATTCTGGATAGGGCTCAGAATGAAAAGAAACTGGAATTTGTGTCATTACACCAAAGAAAAAAACTAAGAAATTGGTAGAAAATTCGAAAAGAATAGATAAAGATCAACTTTAAGAGAAGAACCAGAGTTTGAAACTAAGTCAAAATATTTCTGTAACATTATATTATGTTAAAAAGTAAATACTTACAACATATTATTTCCTCCACTAAACTACTTCATCGTCGAAAAAGTCTTGGATAATATTATTCAAATCCCTTAGAAAAATGTGCATTGTTATCTAGAAAACAGTGTTTCTTGTTACAGTTCATGAAATAGTTCAACCTCATAGATCAGAATGGATGCTACTAGTTTTTGTGTAAAGAATTAGTGGTTTTATTGATGACACAAATCAATTGAAGTTGGAAAAATTGTGGAAGGCGTACAAGCAAAAGGGGAAATGGCAGAAATGGTAGGAAATTGGAACAAATTAATCAAAATCCAATTTTAAATCCTTAACGGAATATTGAGAAGATGGATTGCTTTGGAATAGGTCAGAAATTAAGTCAAAACGTCACCACTGCACCATATAACTAACTACTTATTGAAAAAAGTTAACAGAAAATTATGTTTTATGTAAAAAATGGTTATTTTCTCCAAGAAACCCTGCCATCATCGTAAAAGTCTTCCAAGCATAATGGAAAATGGAAAAAAAGTAGAAAATTTGAACAGAATAAACAGAGGTCAACTTGAAATTTTTAATGGAATATTGCGAATAGTGAATTACTCTAGAAGAGATCAATCAAAAACTTATTCACAAATGTCATATAATTGCATTTACTGAAAGAAGTTAATAGAAGCTAATTTTTTATATAAAAATGGCATTATATCCTCCATTCTTTCCCCGCAAAAGTCTTAGATAAGTTACAATAACGCCTAAAAGGCGACAACTGCTTATAACTGCTTTTAGTACAAGCTTGCAAGACCCCCACAGATCAAAACTGATCCAAGTTTCAAGTCTGTAGATAGCAAACACATATTAGTAGTTTTAATGATGGTGCAAACCACCTGGAAACGGAAAAATTGGGGAAGGATATAAGTAAAAGAAAGGATGGTAAAGAAGATAGAAAATGTTGACATGATATAATGTGTTCAGTTTTAAATACCTATATAATGAATATTGGGACGAGTGGATTACTCTGGAAGAGACCAAAGTTGAATAAATGTTAACAGAAGACTTTTTTCTACCAAAAATTGTCATTACTTCCCCCAGGAAACCTTGAGGAATGTATTATCATCTAGACGACAACATTTCTTTTTACAATCATTAATACTTATATAGATTAGTATTGATAAGTTTAAAGGTTCATAAATATGTAATAAATATTACTCATGAATTAGTGGTTTTGGATGCAAGCAAAAGAAGAAGTGATAAAAATGGTAGAAAATTTGGACAAAAAAACAAAGTTCTACTTCCAACATTTAGAACTTAACTCAAACTTTGAACATTATCTATGGAATATTGTTTTTCTGAATTATCTAAAGATAACTTTTCATTCGCATTAGAGGCATTTGCTTTTAGTATTACGTCCACGTAATCATATTCAGGTCCACGTGCAAAAAAGTCTCCGTTACACTGTATAAAGAAAATTACACGACGTAAAACAGCTTGGACCCCCGCAGTAACTTGAAGCTACACGTCCATTAAGCCGCCGTTTTTAATTCTCATTTGCATACACACGGAGATTTTAATAATGTAAACCGTCCAAATTACATTTCTCCGGACGTCCACTCTGCGAGGCTTCCCAAAGGACGCGAATATACGCCCGGCTAACTAGATTATCTTGCTTCACTAAGCTACATTTACTTACCGCCTATGTTTGTTCCAAATATTAAAACCTATTAAAGCGGCGGCTACAATTATGCCGATGCTGGAAATGATACACATGCAAATGAAAAGGGGCAGCGACACCGTCCGCAGCACTCTCCGTATGATGGTCCTGTCTTGAGGCACTTTTCCACCTGGAATAAATCAGATAGTTCATTGTCTGTGCAAAATTCGGATGCTTTGAGGTGAGGTGGGAAGGTATGAAAAATATCCCCATTCAACTTGAAACTTTTACAGCAACTTGAAAGTTAGGTAGGAAAATTGTTGCAGCGGTGAAAGAGGGATTTCAAGAATTAATTTTAATTTAAATGAACAAAATTCATTTATTCAGTGAAATAACAGCTTTACAAAATATCTAACACCAAAACATTGCAACGTCATTATGTGGGTACAAGTATAACAGAGATTTATTTCTTCTTCTAATTATAACTTGTCGAATCAAAGAAATGATTGAGATTAATTGAGAAAGTTGAGGTTCAAGAACTTAAGGTGAGTTTATTACGGACTGTTCTTTATTGGGTATTTAGAAGCTAATAAAAGTCACTAACTGCATTAAACTTTCATCCTCAAACGTTTAGAAGTAAATATATCGTAGAGTATAGTTAAAAATTATTTAATTTTTAGTAGTTAAAATGAATGCTAAAACGTATGTAGATACCTACGTAAAATGTAAACCAATTTTGTCCCAGTATTATGATAAAATGTTGAGTCTAAAAAACATAAATATTAGCGTTCTCTTTAGAGAATAATCTATTCTCATCACTTCTGATCACTATAAAACATGTAAATATTGAACATTTCGATATTAATTTTCTGAAGAAATTAGCAGTGGATAATAATAATTGAAGGTTTGCAAACACTTTTTTCACACTGACAAAATTGTATCAAAAAAGTTGATGGTGCTGTACTTTTGAATTGTGTTTATGATGATGAAAACTGACTCACTAAATTAAACGTAATAAATAAGAGATCTTGTTTTAAAAAACATTGAATTTTCTTATGCATAAAAATACAACAATCCATTCATCTGGAAGTCACAGAGACATTTAAAGTTTCACGACTAAGGAGAACATAAAGAAACAATAACTATGCTTTGGCGAATTTGACTGTATGTCAGATAGGACAAACTACATAACGAAACGCGAGGTTTGATATCAAATTCACGTTCACGAACATTTCTTGGATAATTCGACAAATTTAACGATATAAATTCTGGAACTTTAGTATTCCTTAAAAATTGTCACTGGATTCAATTTGATTTCATGACAGACATTCAAATCCAGTAAAACGTTTTACAGCTTAAGTTTTAGGAGGGGAAATATGCCTTTAGATTTATTTGTTCACCTCTTAACTAAATGTCAAATTCTACATTAAGCAACAGTGGAGGATAGTTAAATTTAGTTAATATAGAGAAATCAACTTGAGGTCAATAATTCGTGCCATCAAATTTTAAAACTTTAACTTTAAATTTAGATTGTAGGTATTTAGTTACTTTAAAATTAGTTGTCAGTTCTGGTTTTCCATTACGGAGAAGTAAATGTAAGACTTTATAAGCAATAACAAACTGTTTCACTTTTTAATAGAACATATGAAATTAGTTAACTTAAGTACTAATTTTCCAGAAGCTTGGCTTAGAAGAAACGAATATATTATTGAGCTAACACCAACATATACAGGGTGATTCACAACATACCCAAAAAATTTGGGAATAGATGCGTCATGAAAAATAGGTCAAATGTAGAGAATTAATTGAAAACAAAGTAAACCTACTTACTTATGCACTTTTGGGGTCGCTGAAACCGAATCCGATATCCGTTTGACCCGATTAGTTCTAGGTTAAGGTCAGTTCAAGATCAAATATAGAGAATCAGTTGTCAACAAAGTAAACCTACATATCTATATATTTTTGGGGTCGCTGTATTCAAATCCGGTGTCCATTTGATCCTATAAGATCTGGATTAAGGTAATTTCAAGATCAAATGTAGAGAATCAATTAATTGCCAGCAATGTAAACGCATGGTTTTTGATGTTTGGCTCGCTCAGGTTTGGGTTAAGGTCAGTTCAAGGTCAAATGTAAAAAACGTAAGTAAACTAATATATCTATACGTTGGGGTCGCTGAATCCGAATTCGGAGTCTATTTGATCCGATCAGGTATGCTAAATACTCCTAAGTTCTAAACTCAATCAAGTAAGCATTTGTGGGTATTAAAATTTAAGTCACAAATAAGATTAAAGAAAGAACACTAACTCTGAGCCCGTGACTCTCGAGTTAATAATTGTTTTGACATGACAAAATTCTAGTATCAATAAAACCCAATCAAATTTTTCGCTTTGAGGTTCTAAATCATTTTTTTTATAAATATCTTTAGTACCTATGTTGATTGAACTTTTTCTATTAGAAAGTATTTAATAGACCTGATCGGTTCAAATGGACATCAGATTCGGATTCAACAACCCCAAAAACGTATAGATATGTAGGTTTACTTTCTTTTCAATTAATTACCTACATTTGACCTTGAACTGACCTCAACCCAGATCTGATTGAGTCAAACGGACACCAGATTCGGATTCGGCGAGCCCAAAAATTTGTAGATCTGTAGATTTACCTTGTTGGCAATTGATTCTCTACATTTGACCTTGAACTGACCTTAAACCAGAGCTAATCGGGTCAAACGGACACCGGATCCGGATTTAGCAATCCCAAAACCATATGGATACCATGGTCTTGTCTTTTGGACCTGCCACTTTTTTTGTGGGTCTGTGTAACTGAAAAATCCCTGCATTTTTAACACTAACAACAAAAGTTGTAAACAATAAGATTGACTTCCGAATTTGTAGTATCAAATCAATATAAGAATATAAGATTCTCCACCTTTTCCCTTAAAGTTAAAGTTTTTCTAATATTACATAATCACAGTACCGATTAAAGAAAGTACGTTTGACTTTTAATGCGAACAAATTAGACCAGATCATCATCATCAAAGGGAAGTGCATCACTCACACGGCACATCAAGTTCATCTGATCATAACACTGGAGCTACTAACTAGCTAACGAAATTGCGGATAAATCCCGATAGCAGTATCGCTATCTACCGCGATAGAATGCGTATAATAAGATTTAGAGGGTTGACAACAACTTACCGCGCCAAACTTCCCTGTCGAACCAAGTCAGATTATCCGCCTGTGTGTCGTAATAGCCGAGGACCACATAGTTGCCGTTTATAACTTGCTCTATTTGGGTGAGGGCTATCCTGTCTCCCTGGGAGCTGAACGCCACGAAGCCCTGGAAGATGGAATTGAATTATTATCGGTACAACACATTTCGGGCGTGCTCGCAAGAACGGAAGCTCCACCGTTAAATAAAATTATGGAGTTTGTGGATCTGTGTTTGGGAATCCCCTTGGATTCGACACTGATTTATCTGATTCCTTGAATATATCAAGACTGTGCGTTAGGTGGCACGATATGCTGAATTTAAACGGGGTGTTTAGAGATTGTTTAAGTTTACAAAAATCTATCGTTCAATAAAAATTTACTTGGTAAGAAGACAGTAGTACACAGGCTGTTACAAATTCGTTTATCTCTACAGGAATCTCGGAAACGGTAAGAAACACGATGTAGCTTAAATGGGAGCAAAGTTTTAATCCCGTGCTCATGGTTATTTCTAGGTTTCTCGAGTGCTCAAAATTCAAACAAATTTCGATCTAATTTTTCAGGATATTCATACAAATACATCTGACATGCTCTTTCACAGGTGCGGTTATATGTATAACAAATTCCGATCATATTACGTTTAACTTCCTTTTGAACATTTGCCAAAACGGAAACGTTTTTGAACAATTATTGCAATTTTTTAAAGTATAATATTCATTTGGAGTTTTGGTTGTTCACATGCATTTTTAAGAATTAATTTGTCATGACGAAATTAAAATTGTAATGTTTTAATTTTGACCCAACGACTTATTGAATTATGTATGACCAGGCGATGGAAATTAAAACTTTAATAATGTTTTATTGTAACGAGTGATGGTAATAGTTTCAACAACAAGGTGGATTTCACAGGGTCTAACGACACTTACAGTGTACGATAATTCAAGAAACATAGACATCTAAAAAAGAAATAGATAAAATTGGAACTAATACATTGAATATTAATTTTTCGATACAAAAAGTCTGAATCTGGTTCGGGCTGAGGCAGTACAGTATTGGAGGTCATGAAGGCTTGCAAAAAATGTAGTAAAATTTCCCGGGTCGTACTTAAAAAACGAAGTTGATGATGGTCTTGGAGAGACGAAACGTTACATATAAAAATTGATTATGCCATTCGATAGACGGCTAAAAGTTGCCATGAGAAAGTGTTCTTCTTTTTTCAATACCACCTCAAACAAGGCCGATATAAAACAAAAACGGATTTCCAAAATTTCGAAAACTAATCATGTTAGCCTTGATTTGCCCCCATTTAAGCTACTTCGTATCTCTTACCGTTTCCGAGATCCCTGTAGTGAGAAGCGAATTTGCAACAGCCTGTATATGTTTCGGATAATTATTTCGTTCTGCCATTTTACAGTCAAAACACCGAAAATAATTAATATTATGTTTAGTTATAAGATAATTGTATGTATAATTTTTTTAATATCGTCAACTATTTTATTATGTAAGTTTTATGAAATTCTGTAGAATTGCTAGGAAAATTTACTGTATTTTGGATATTTTTTAGATAAAAGTTGTAGGGTTCTGAGAGGGACATTCGATGGTGACCTTGACCCAAAGATCAAACGTCATACTGACCTTGACTTGACTGGCTGGGTCATAGTGATCTTGCCTATGACTGGGTCATAGTGATCTTGCCTTTGACCTTTAGGTAAAAGTCAAGGTCATCATAAAATGCCTCCCTCAGACCTTTACAACTTTTGTCTAAAAAGTTTTTCTTCAAAGTGCTTCCCTTGAAATTATTTAAAATGGGACACCTTGTATATTTCAGGTAATTCTGCGGAATTTAATAAACAAAAGAAGTATTTTTTTTGTTTCTATTTAATTTAACGTGTAACGGAACTGCACCAACTTTTAATTAAAAAAGTACTAATTCTTTCTTATTTTGCTGTATAAATATAGTGTCCCTATTTAACATGTAAAAAACAGGAAACTCGTTTTTGTCTCGAAAGAAACAATTTTGTCTTATTAATATCTCTAAATAAGGGGAAGATATATCACGGGGAACTGTGTTCCATTTTTAATAAATCGCTCTGTATAATATTCATAAGCAATATATTTAAAGTATAGTGCATTTTATGCGTTCGCCATTGTGTTTTTTAAGGTAATTATATTTTTCGATAACACTCTCAGTTATGTGAAATTGTCTTTTTAATTTGCCAATATTTGTCAGGACACATTTATTTTGGGAAAGCTTCACAATTAAAAAAAATAAATAAACTGTCTAATCAAAATGTATGGAATCGAAATCTATAAAAGCATGCAAATTTGTATCAACACGGACGGAAGCAAAGTGGATAATCAAATTATAATAGTCCAAACGGCACTGTAGCAGAAACGGTATAAAAATTGAAATATATTTAAATGAACTTTTCAGTAGGTATAGGTTAAAGGTTAACTGTGTAGGCATATACGAGGATATCGACATCTCGATATTCATTCAAACAAAAAAGTACATTTTAAAATTTACCAAGAGATAGTTGCTATTTAAATACGATGGGTGACATATTTTTGTTAGTAATGGAACATAGTCGCTAAATTATCAACAAATATTTAGGTGGATTTAGCTCTATTTTTTTATCTATACAACAAGTCCTAATCTGTAGATGTAGAAATTAAAACAATTTAAAATATTTTATAACCGTATTAAGATGTATGTATCATGTATACGTTAATTTATTCCAATATACCTACATTTTAGTCATTATTTAGCTTTTTCTGAATTTACACTGTTTCACACACTTATTTAAAAATAAATTAATTTTTATGGAAATTGGTAGATTTAGACAATTTTGATAGTACTGAAAGTTATATTTTGTATTGTAATTAAAAAAAAAACATTCTTTATTTCTAAAATAAAAAGTTCTGAATTTTTGTACGAACATTCTGGGCTTCATACTATAAATAAGTGCTTATTTGTGGCATTTTTTAAGTAGCTTTTCTTTTTTTTATAGTTTAAACTTTCAATAAAATTATTCAAAAATTGCCAAAACAATAAAATCTTTCTAAACGTCAAAAAATTGCGAAAAGTGTTTTTATAGTGATATGTAACTATTTATCATTGGCATTATAGGCAAAAATAATTTTGTTGAAAAAGACATGCCATAACTATTTTTTTACTTTTATAATTTAGTTTACATTGTGGCAAAACATATTTGTAAAATTATTTAATAAATATGTAAGTATTGCAGAAAGATGATGCCAGAAAGAATTTTATTTTTGTCTGTAAATGCCTGGGTAGATAAAAGCGAAAAAGAGAGAGACTATACATCCCCGTGCAATGGAACATAACAATCGCTCAGGCCAATCACATTACTCAGCTGAATATTCAGGAAGTTATGGGTCCAGTTCTATTTCCACTAACTAGGGGATTGAAAATTTAATGTCTCATTCAAACAGTATGCCATTTGGCGTTGCCTAGTCGGCGCCTTGATTTGATCTGACACAAACCGTATAAAACTGAAGGTATATTTAAAAAAAATAAAATAAAGTATTGGACTAAGCAGACTTGTATTAATTAGTCATGTCCCTAAAAAGGTCGCAACCCTGTCATTTTGGAGATTCTAATAATAGAAATCTACGTAGTACTCTTCAACTTTTAATGAGCCAAAAATTACGACAGCAAAATAGCTTACTTTTCTCAAAACATGATGCATAAGGCTGTACTAAAACGACTGAACAGATTTATTCGCAAATTATATAAAGGGTTTAAACATCCCTGAAAATTATTGGCTGAAAATGTTTTCTTAGAAAAATTCTGAAAAAAATTATCTTTAACTAATCAAAGCCTGTTTAATTCACTTCTGATATCTAATTAAGAATAGAGTTAGCATTTTTGCTAATCTTGATATAAACACATTTTTAATTCGTTTTTCAGGGGGATTTTTGTAGCAAGCTGTACAGGCAGAAGAAGCAGCATTTGAAAATGTATGTTCCCAGTACCTTGACGTTGAATAAATCGTCTGAGGCTGGGAGTATATTTTTGTTGTTGCTTCGATCATTTCTTGTTATAAAAAAAATTACCCTCCGCCTCACTCCTGATTTAAAAGAAATAATCAACAAATTTCCTCTCACTCCGGATTAGAAATTGCAAATTAAAATTAAACTTCAAATAAAACAGAGTGAGCACTTTTGTCGAATTTTTTGTGGATGTACTCCCCTGGCATTCCAAGCTGCACCAAGAGGGAAATTTTTTTAAACAAAAAAATTAATCAAAAAAATGTTCATACGTTCCGGACTTTTCTAGAATGATTTCCAGTTTACCTGAAGACTAGTTTAATTTGAATTTTATGATTTTAATGAATTGATATACTGTTGTAGTTTGATTGTACCAATGAACAAAAAATTCATGAAATTGCACTTTTTAAATAAAATGGGGCCACTTTGAACATTTGCTGTAATAAAATAAAAAGTAGTACTAAATTATTGCTTTCATTTATAGGCGAGCGGTGCACCCCTATAAAGACGCACAAAAAAACCAGCGGACTGACCACGGAGGGGGGCCATGGATAAAACCTTTTTTAATCGCTATATTACGTTGTTGCGAACAAAAAACCTTAATGACATTTTTGTGTATCGATGATCAGTAATTTATTATTAATAAAAAAAAACAAAATTGCGAAAACTTAAAAAATCGATATGAAAATACATTGGTTATATATTTTGGGTAAAAATAAGCACATTTTAACTCTTGTGATTTTTTCGAAAAAAACTTTGTTTTCGAGCTACGAGCGATTTAAGGTCGAAAAATAACCAAAAGTCGCCATTTTCAATTTATGTTTTCTCGGATTGTACTGGAGCTTTTTTAATTTTTCTTATTCGAGGTTACTCACCGAAAGTTCTATATTTGTGTTATATATTTTTCATCGTGGCGACTTTTTTCCCCCCATAAGATACGCCACCGAAAACTCGTGAAATTCACCGCTTCACTTTTATAAATATTATGAGTGATGAGGAAATATGTTCTTGCCTATCACAAGACTTTAAATGTTACGGCAATGTCGGCAATGTTATGGGTCTGTCAATAGCTAAAAAATAGAAAATATTGCAAAAAAGTGACAATTTCTATTTACT